GGCATCACAGTATGGTAAGGGACGTAACATTTCTGTCACACGCTTGAGGTATTCGGCCAATCACAACGCATTGGATATCTGGCCAATCAGAGCACACCTCGCTTTTCAGACCGATTAGTTTTGTAAAAATCGACGCGTTTCAAAAAGGCGGGGCATAGCGGAGAAACAATAATGTACAGTATGTGGAAAATAATGTGTTCTTTTTACTTTAAACCGCATAAACACATTTCATTACACCAAATACACAAAATAATGTTCTTTTTAGCAGCATCATATGACCCCTTTAATGTAAAGCAGTTGCCAAACAAATTACATCAATATATGACGGAAAATCAGCATCAGGAAAGGTCACAGTTGTTAAGGGCTAATAGTATGGAGGATGTTGACGGGGAAGAGGATTTGTACCCTCATTAACATCTTAATGTGGTATATACTTCAATGGAATGCCCGGAGTTTGATTGGTAATGGTCAGGAATGAAAGCGTTTTGTTGATGAATTTAAAGAAGTACCAGAATTGATTTGTATCCACGAGACATGGTTAAAACCATGGTTAGATTTTGTAATTCCAGGATATGAATGTATTGTTTTGAAGGGGTTTAAAACGGACGCAGAGACGGCTTTTTTTCTGCTGGACAGGTAAGACATTTCAATGGTTCATTGTGTAATTAGGTAACTGTAGCACTTGTTCGCTTAATCAATACAGTTATGGAGTTTCTTATGTTGTGCTTTTTTTCTCGTCTTGCTATGCCTATGTTCATTATGATAAAAGATTTATTTCAAAGAGAACGAGTTGTAAGGTACTTTAATTAGCTTTTTGGGTTACAAGAACAATTTCTTTATATGAAATTCGAATGGTATGACAATTAAGAGATTAGACTGTACAGAAATTGAAATCTACAGGTAACGCTAATATACACTAAATACACGCACTCACGCAATGCTAATGTTATTTACGTCAACAATTTGAAAACAAAGTATAACAGTAATAATAATTGGCATTGTTTGATGTGATATGAGCTAACCGATCATTAGATTTAATCACCATTGATAGCGCAATTTATTGTAATGCTTTTTTTCCTCAGTTGATCAGAACAAAAGTGGCAGTTATACTTACTTGTTCAGATGACATTCTCCAGTGAAATCTCTTATTTGGGTCATACTTTCAAGATGTAGAATCTGTGAATACAAAGTGCAGTATCCACACTGGTGCGGTGACTGATAGCCACACATTAGAATCATCTGCGCTGGAGCCGTGCCGGTGCACAACCCACGCAAGGAAGATAATTCTGCAAACAGCTGCAATTGCAGGTTTTCAAACAGAGATGGCGACAAAGAGGCAAAACTTACGGACTGCAGCTTTAACATGTTGAGGATTTGATGTTCTTGTCTGGATCCTGTTCCCAGGTGGGGGCATTTGAGGTGTTGCTATACTCATTTTGGTTTGAATATGTTGGTGTATGTGACATCTGTTTTTAAGGCCAATTAATGTAAGTAATAAGTGGCGTGTGTATATCAATCTGATAAGCAAAATGGTAACTTCCTTCACAGGCAGCTTCACTACCCACAGTTCCGCCTCGGTCTGCCATGCGAACAGCCTTCATCTCTGCAGGCACAGTGTGGTTTATTGGTGAGAAGCAGAACACTTAATATAGTACTGAAAGTTTGGCACAGTTTTATATTGTAGGTCACAGTAATCAGAACCCGTATGCCAGCAACAATGTTTTCTGTACAGATGTAGATCTCTGAGTGATCAAAAGTGCGACAAATCAGTGACGGGAAAATCCTATTGGTAAGTATCGGCTTAAAAGTATGGTATGAAACCACATAGCAATGCCCTAGGAACTTTTCAGAGCACCCCAGCAACCACTAAGAAAGAACACTAAAGGCCCCCTCATACCAAGAATGGCAACTATTAGCATCCACACTAATGCATGATAACGTTCTGTTTATTACAAGCACACGCTGCACTTATGTCTTCTGCCACTTTAAATATGCGAGCTCTTTTATTTACTTTTATTTATTTCATTTTTTTTAGTGTTAATGCAAACAGCATACATTTTTCACTAAGTACAAAAAAGTTACACTTGGGACCTAAAGGACCAAAATGTCCCATTGAAAACCATTAAAACAGAAAAAATTAATCACAGTGCCATTTAATAATAAAATCGTGCATTCTTTGTTAAGGCTTTCATTCTGTTGGCAATTTTTATCCCCACCTGATAGCATAGTTTTCTTAGATTTTTCTTAGGCCTATGGAGCAAATACTCACTTTTTTCCATGTTTTCTGTGGATAAAAGGCCAACTGAATCTAAATTAATATTATAATTGTGTGGGTGTGTTGGTATGGATATCAGAATGTGTTTTGTATGATGTGAGAACTGAGAAGTTGTGTGTGTGTGTGTTTGTGAATGGTCTTTTTTTTCTTTTTTGGACAACTATATCACTCTTCTGTACAAATGATTATTGAAACTTTAAGTTATTGTTGTATGTATAACTTTTTAATAGCTAATGATCTGCAGCATAAGAGAAGTTTATCTATGAATAATTAGCCTACATATATTTCAACCTGTTTCTCATATAAAGCTGCCATATGACTTTTAGTTTGGTTGTGTTTTCTCCTAAGTTTTTGTCACAGACATTTCTTGGCCCTGCAAATTGCTTCATAGCATTGCTGTGGTCCCTTCCTTGATTGAAAGGCTCAGCTTTCTGGCTGTTCTGGAGGATGTATATGCCTCCATCTAGTGGTGAAAGTGTATTATGTTTTATATCAGCGCCTTCCACTGGTTCATTCATGAATCCTTACTTATAAAAGCTCTCTAACTAACCTGTATGTTGACGCTGTTAAATCAATAGCTCACCCCCCAAAATAAAATAATCTCATCGTTTTCTCACCTTCATGCCGTTCCAAACCTGTATGACAGGCTACTTTTTTAATCTACACACAAAAGACGATATTCTGAACAACGTTGATGTCCAAAAAACATTGGGCCCCGTTGGCTTTGTAGGGACATGGAAATCACTGAGACATATTTACAAAATGTTTTATTTCTTGTTTTACCGAAAGTTTTTTTTTTTTTTTTACAGAATTACAGATCTTTAACACATTTACATTTTCTTAGTTATTCGTGGTTTATCACACGAGGGGTTTATTGAGCCGCGTGCATCTGTTGATTAGCGAAGGTTAATCACCCTTTAATGGCTTTTATAGCTGCTAACTTGTTAAATCACACTGGGCACTAATTAAGACTGTACTTTGTCTTTTAAAGTCTTTTCATTTAAATCAAATGTATTTTTCTGAATATAATACGCAAAAAAAAACATATCTGTCATAAACTTTATCAACGCTATCAAAAAAATAGCATATAACACTAGTGCGGAGATCTGTAGAACAAGTAGTCACAGAATGAAAAAAAGCAAACAGCTATGAAGAAGTCTATGATATTTCATTGAGTATTGTATAAATTTTCATAAAATCATGCTAACAACATTCATAAGAGAACTAGACAAAGTTATCATAGCAATGGTTATTAATGAAAGCTATAACAGTAATACTATTATTAACAGTATAATATAGTTTTATATAAAAATAAAGATATTTAAGAAACACGCTAAGTTAACATACTTGTTTATCTGGAAAAACAATGCTACAGTCAGTTATTCTCCTTTGAAAATGTGCATTCCGGGACGAAATGTCTGTCTTTGTTTTGGTCTGTGGCCCACTGCCAGTTTACCCAATTGTATTTTGGCACCCAGGGTTGCCAGTTGGCGGAAAACACAGCATGTTTCATTTCATTCATCATCATGTGCACTCGTTCCTGTTGGTGTCGTCAATCTGGCAACCTGCTTGTCTCAAGTCTGAGGAGGAGGGGCCAGGTGAAAAAAAACCTCCAATATTTAGAATTTGGACTGCAATACCTAGTTCAACCACTAGTTGTCAATCCTACATACAGCACCTTTAAAGGACAGAAGCAACAAGTGGGTAATCAGTTATTAAAACAAATGAAATTGTGCAATGAGCACTGTCAGGGTGAGTCATAAGCAGCTGGTTTAGCCTACAGAAAAACTCAATGCACTTTTGAGGAATTGCTCGTGACGTTCTCTGACTAAGCAAACCAATTCATGTTAACCAATCCACATCGTTCAGCACACGAGCACAATCTCGTTTTAAACCGCCCCTGCTGTTGAGCAAGCACTGCAGCGGACAGACAGACTCCAGTGCGTTTCATATTTTTGTGAAAGTGTGCAAACGTGAGCAATGTCTGCAAACAGAGAGAGAATGCACACCAATCTCATCGACGGACCTGACGATGAATGCAGCAGTCCAGAGGTGCGATATTCAGGTATGACAATCACAGCATTTGCTGTCTTAATGTTTACAGATACATTGTGTGTAATGTAGACTGAAAAAAATGATTCATTGAATTTACTACATTTTTTTTAAGGTAAGTGGTTGCAATCAATTTATTTTAGCTACATTTAAATAAACAAATTTAGTTGCCTAACTTTCAAATTTTATTTTAAATGTAGCTAAAATAAATTGCTTGCAACCACTTACCTTAAAAAATGTAGTATAATTGTTTTCAGTGTATCTTCGATCCTTGTAAGGCAGTAAATAATAATGGGTATGCAGTATATATATATATATATATATATATATATATATATGAAGAGTTTATTTGCAAAAAACCGGTAACTGTTACGTTATCATGTTTATATTGTGTTTTATTGTGTTAGTTAGCTATATTTGTTAGTTCTTTTTTTACCTAATCAAATTACCAGATTGGAATTGGAATGCACAATGAAAAAACATGATTTTTGAAAGTTGTTAAAAACGGAGTTATCTGTTTTTGAAAATGAATTCTTCATATATGTATACATATACATATATACATGGACGTGTTGGCAAATGCTTTGAAAAAGTTAAATGAGTTAGATCACAGACATTAAATGAAAAGCGTGCTCTCTGATATTCACTATCTGACCGTGTGTTTTTTAATGGTTGATTCTTAAATAATTACATTGCTGAATATGAATGTTCGTTCCATTTTTAGACAAATGTTTAATCTCAGATGCTGCAGTTGTGTAAATGTTTAAGAGGTTTTATGCTAGAAACTCCAGCTTGACAACCATCCACCATTATTGGATAGCATACTGATCAATACTCAGGGTTTGAGTTAGCCTGGCAAAAAAAAAAAAACTGTAAATGATTCACTGAAATGGACAACATGTATTTCAGAAAGCATTCTAAAGTTTACATTTCTTGTATATATCTTGTCAAAAAATGTGTACACAATACCATTGTGTACTGTAAAATTGTGCATTTAGACTTGCAAGTTTTTGTGCAGTTGTTATATCGTAAATCCAGTTGTTTTATTCGTTTCTTTCTAGTATTTCAGAACCCAGATAAAAGCAGAAAGCAATTTTGCCAAGATCCCTTCAAGGTGGCAACAGCATGCCTGACTGCCTTCTGCCTCATCTTACTCATGATCCTGGTGGTCACAAGTGTTCACAGCGGTACTTCTCATTTCTCACTTACATGACTTTAGTGTGAGTGTGTTTATTAACAGGTCTGGACATTAAAACACATTTCCAGATTTAATTGGATTTGAATCAATTCTGATTCACAAGAATTCCAATTTGGATTCAATTTGATTCAGTAACGATGCCCATTTTGCTTATATATTAAACAAATTCTCTTTCATCAGCTATTTCATCTGAACTTGATGCATTATGGAAATGTTCGTTCAAAAATGTAAAAAATGACACAGTTGCTAAAAACCTACATTTCTTGTTTTAAAAAAAAACAGTAAATTATTACAGTAAACATAGAAAAACTTTTACTATAAAATACTATTAAGTCTTTAAGGTTAAATTTGATGCATTACTTTCAGTTTCTTTCTAATTAATTGTGAAATTTACCAGCATTTTCTAAGTGAAAATTATTTCTACACCAATTTTCTTTTTAGTGAATATGTCAAATTCTTAGAAAATTAGTTTTAACATCCGTTTTAAGCTTAAGTTATAATCGTAATCTTTCTATTTGTATCTCTTGAAATCCCATTTCTTTTTATACCCTATCGTTAACACACTTCTGCTTTCGTTTTTTTTCTTGTGTTTTAGGTAAGGCACGTTCATCTGATCAGGATTCCCCGTCCAGCGCTGCTGAATCACACATGCAGAAGGGCAGCGCTAACGTATCTGCTCTGACTGAAGAGCTGCAGGCTGTGAAGAAAGAAAAGAGTGAACTGGAGAAAGAACGGCTGCAGTTGAAAAACAGAATCGCTGAGCTTGGTTAGTGAGGTGCAAGTGCATGCATTTGTGCGATCAACAAACAATATCTGTTGCATTTCATAGCGTTAAAATGTTGGGTCTTTTTAGAGGCAACCCCTGCAGCACAAACCACTCAAGTACCAACAAAGAGTCCCTGTCCTGAAGACTGGAAGCACTTTAACGGCAGCTGTTACTACGTCTCAGAATACCGAAGGAGTTGGTCGGACAGTCAGGCGTACTGCAAGCGGCAAGGAGGACATCTGGCCATCATCCTCACAGCTGAGGAACAGGTAAGGACTGCCCTTTCATTTGCATTTATGTCATAGTGTGTGTGTGTGTGTGTGTGCAGATATATTTGCTGCATATCTAATGGCCTCAAGTAACACTGACTTTAGACATCAATATTTGTGTAAAAAGAACAGCAACTATTGGCCAAGAATATAAAAAAGAGGAAGGGATCTTAGTTGAAACGTGAGCCATTACAAAGGATTCTGAAAGTTTTTTTTTTTGACTGATTTTAATGATATTTGATCTTTTGACTTGATGAAGACGTTCATATGGAACCTGCTGCCCCGTGGATACTGGAACGCTTACTGGTTTGGCATAAGTGATGAAAAAGTAGAAGAAGACTGGTACTGGGTGGACGGAACTAAACTAGTTGGAGGGTAAGAATATCAAATTGAAATCTTTACAAGATAAAACTCTAGTGCTGGAAGTCAGATCCATATGGAGTCTTGTAAACACTTCAGTGTTATGACACATCTCACATGGAGTTAAAACTACTGAATCATATTTTTTCATTTCTCTTTTGGATAGAGGTCTTGTGGTGATACACTGAATCATCTCATCCTTCCTCTCTGTTCTTCCTCTTTAAAAAGAAGAAAAAAAAGGGATCTTGCGTAAAATATTTTTCTTATATCCTCAAAATCATTTATATATTTTCAGTGTTTAATGGTCATTTGAAATTCATATGTTAGTGACTACTTGGGAATAAGAAATTTATATTTTACCCTTTACATATATAATTATGATAGGGAAAATATTAAAGGTGACGACATATCATGAAAATCGGGCTTTTCCAGGTTTTAAGTGCTATAATCAGGTCCCCGGTGCATCTACCAACCAAGGAAACGTGAAAAAGATTAACCCAGTAACTTTGTTTTGGTAAGCCTTTTTCTGCAACATTATTTTTCTTTTACGTCTTATCACAGCCTGATTAATGTATTATAAAAATTAATGAGGGTAGGAAATGGTTATATAAAAATAAAATTACAACTGTTTTGAGTGCATGAAACATTAACTAACATTAAGTGGACTTATACAGTGAATAAAAAAACATCTCAAATGCAATGTCCCTTTTAAAAACTTAAGAAAAACAATATCATGAAATAAGAGAAATGCCATTAACCTTAGTATATTAAACATATTTTAGCCTCACTTTATTTTGCCATTGTTATTTTAAAAATGATGCTTACTTCCACTGGTTAAAAGCCTATATATCCTAAGGAAACCAGGCTGTCTTACTGGGACTATTGAACCCCCAGAAACACCCTTCTTTTTCCTCCATAGTTTCTGGGAAGATGGCGAGCCCAACAACCATATTAATGAAGATTGTGGCTACATGATAAAAACAGATGTGTTAAGCCGTGTGGCTATAAAGAGCTGGTATGACGCGCCCTGCTACATGTCCTTGCCCTGGATCTGTGAGAAACTGGTGTCCTCTTGATCTACCACCATCATCAACAACAGACATTCATTGATTGTTACTAATACAAGCTGTAATGCAATTTCCATTGCATTTAGAATGTCTTGTCTCAGGGTTTTCAGTCAGTGTTTAAAATGTTAAAATGACTAACTGCAGTCATGGGTCAAAAAAGCAATTAACTGTTTATTTTAACTGTTTATTCTGACACCCTATGTGCATTAATCTACATATAGCTGTGCTTTTTTAACACTGGATGATTTAGTGAATTCATTAACTGCTTGAATTTTATAGAAAAAACTAATTGAGGCTGATTTTATCATAAAAAAACACTTTATGTAAAAAATATTGTCTGTCTTTTCCTAAACTAAATATTTTTTAATTGTTTTATAATATGCTGGGGGGGTTATATTACCTAACAATAAAAATATAACAGTCATTTTATAAAATTTCCTGTTTTCTTATAACTTTGGCTGGCAGTTCCACTTGCACTCAGTAGGGCGCAGCATTGAGTCAAGGTTTTGACAGTAACCATATGATGCGTTATGAATGGATCAGTCCATACCCAATATTTTCTTTTTCTCGTCACATTTAATTTGTAGGTGTTCCTGCGTTAATATTGACCAACTTATCTCTATCATGTTATAAATGTTAAAAATAATCACATTAATCCCTAAAAGCCGTGCCTTTGTTGTTGTTTTTCTAGGCAATGTGCATCACTTTAGTTAAGGTTCATTTTAAGACCATATCCAAACCAGATTAATTAATTTAGACCATTTAAACCACACTAGTTCAGAAATGTGACCAGCCAAACTCTAAAGTCAAAGTTTTTGGAATGCAATACAGACAATCTGTTCATCTTCTTCATCTATCTGTTTGGCATACAAAACAGGTCCTTGCCCTGTGAAGATCTGTAGGCTGGATTTAAGCGTGTAAGGTGCACGCATGGATGCATTCTGGATCGTGTCCTTTCACGTCCCAGCCGAGTGTTTTTTATGACAGTGCCGTGACTGATTGCCACAGTTACTCATAGTGCAGCCAGCTGCCTAATCAAAGTAGCCTACTATATTTTACGTACATCAGCTTAATCTTAATCACAGTCCATAAACCGGTCATGTAGACTGAAGGAGAACAGCACGTAGGCTGCATCGTGTTTTGAGCATTAAGACCTGTTGGCAAAACACCATTATCAACTCTGATCAGGCTTGTGGAACAGAAATGGCGTTGTTAAAGTCACTTTAACGCCATGATTTTTAAATTTTCCTATAAGATTAATTATGCCCATTGCACCAGAACAAGCAGCGCTATAGCTTTAAATGTCTGTCGGTTCTTCACAGTATTAATAATAGTAGCCTATTAGATGGAGATTAAGATTAATGCCAAAAATTGGCAGATTTGTTTTCTGCAGTCAAAGTCTAATTTCCTGTGAATGTGCGGGACTTCCGGTGCATTAGCCGCTATAGTTACGTAAATGGCTGTCTACAAGAACAGTGAAGTATACTGTAAAACTGTTTGTGCTACCAAGAAGTGTTTATTATGATGGTAATCAATTTAAATGATTTCAAACATTAGTTTGCAACATAACGAACTGTTTTTGTACAGCAAAAATAACTGAAAGGGACACCGGAAGTTGTGCTGGCATTAAAACAAGGGAATGCTGACTATAGCAAACAGCGTTTCCCCACTTTGTTCCATAAACAGTGCTTATTTTGGACTAGTGCTTTTCTGACCCATCCATTTCTCAGCTAACAAGAGTTTGAGAATGTGTATGGTATGGTCATTTCCTCCAAGCACAGGGCTGGGAAACACTATGTTGCCCTGATGCATCAGCTTGTTTTATATGGTTTTCTTACCGGGTTCACATTCACAGGTACATCATGTTCTCAATTACACAATTACATGTGCGTGATTTATGGTATTTCACTGGAATACTCTGTTTACAATAATACAGGTTATCGGTATTGATGAGAAAATATTAGATTTATTTCATTCATATTAAAAACTCAAACAACAAGGGTCCTTTTAACAGTGATAAATATTGTGAACACAACTTTGAGTATACACATCTTGTGGTCATTCATTATGCAATGAAACAACCGTACAGTGCTATGAATAAATGCTTACATAAATGTTTTTTCTTAAATTGTAAGTGTTGATCACACATCAAGTATGTCCAGCCTCTTTAGAGAGGAAAAATACATCTTTGGCCACATCTTCCTTATTTTGACACTCACAATTCATACACTCTTTCTGACCTCTGTCTCACTTCTCATCCCAGCTGCATTTCTTCTGCCTTCAGTATTTATTTCTTTGCAATACATACACTTCTCTCCACCTGTTTTTAGACTTAACTCCGCTTCAATCAGGTTCACGTGCATCTAATCACCCACACAGGACTCTTCATCCCTGAGCTTTTGCTGAAAAACACCATCTTCAGCAGCACCACAGTAAGAACTTGTTTTTTACCAAGGAATCTACTGTTTGGTATCTTAAATTCTGGTCACATGCAGTTTAAGTGTTCCCAGACAACAGTACTCAAAGAGCATTGGGAAATGCTGTCACTGGTCCCCGAATGCGAGCATTCACAATGGCAGCCAATCTTGGCAATCTCTTGAAGGCCTTTGTCATGACTTTAAGGCAACCAGCTCCGGTGTTTCACTTTGCAGCCTTGTACGCAGCTAAATTCAGCGGCTCTTTGCTCGGGACGCACCAGTCATCAGCTTCCTGGTTGAATTTGTAATGGCGCAAGGCGGTTTGATTGAACACGGGAAGCTTCTCTACTGAATCTGTAGACAGGGCCTGCGGGAAGAAGACTGTGGATTAATGATTTGAAGACTGACAGACGTAATGTCCAAAGTTGACAGGATGCCAACAAACTCAACAGATAAGGTTAGTGTAAGCAAAACTCTCATTATGATTTGCCAACTTGTTGTTTGTTAAAAATTTCGCCTAAAAGTGCAAAGTCGTGGTTTACTCATTGTTCCAAGCCCATATGACTTTCTTTCTTTTGAGGAACAAAAAAGGAGACGTTTAGCATAATGTTGATGATGCTGCCCATGTAATGATAACTGAGCATAAATCTCATATAGGTTTGGAACAACATAAGGATTCGTTTTTATGCAAGCTAGCTAACCCTTTTGAGGATCTCTTTACCTTCAGCTGAATTACAGCATCTGTACCATAGCCCTCCATTGGATAAAGCTGGAGATCACCTTGGAAGTATCGTGCATACAGGCGGGAGATGGGAAGGCCGTAACCAAAGCCAGCCTGAGGGAACAACAGGCAGGTTTGACTTTCCGTTTTATATGAAAAACATATGCACCTGCTGTTATGTAGTGTCCTATGCTCTTACCATTGGGGTCCGCTGATGGTCACCAATAGTAGGTCTGGGCGCTGTTGAATACATGTAGCTAAAAAGTCTATCAATCTTCCTGAAAGGAACGCCACCGCCCCTGTCACAGATCTGGAACATGAAACGTGAATGTTTAGAGAACAATGATCTGCTGCATTACATCAGATGATAAATATGTGTGGGTTACATTGACAAAGACTGAGGGATTGACTGTTGTGTATGTGTAAGAAGATAAATATAATCTTGCAAACACTGTTACCGCATGGATATACAGTAGCATTGCAGTTCAATGTCTGCTTTGTTGCACGCTTTAGCCAGCAGCAGGGCAAAGGTTAACAGTATCGTTAATACTAGTCAGAGCTGGTTTCCGTTCATGGCAACAAATTATCTCGATCAAGGGTGGTTAGAATATTAATCTTTAGGACAGTTTATATAACATTATTATCAGTTATCGGTGAATCTAGGGCGATGTTACAGTGTGAGGAAGGAACCGGTGGTTGAGAATAATGGTTCAATCAAGGCGGTGGTTGTGGTGTGACCTCATATTCTAGTTAAGGGTTTTACAGGTTAAAGATACTGTATTCTCGCTGCCAAAGTTCTCTAAAATGATCATATTTGAGCTTTCATTTACCTCGACTGACAGGTCCTCTCCACCAAGAGCAACCATGACTTTGATCGGTGGCAGGGTGCTGCTTGTTTCATGATTCTCAATAGTAGCCCTCATTGCGTTCTAGAGTGGAAGAGATGTAAGAAGAACTTATTTATAATCTAAATCGGATTATCATTCCATATGCGTCTGATTTATGCAGAAATAAAGCACCATGCCTACCTTGAAGAGCTCAAAAACCATGTGGTAGAGATGAGAAGGAACATAGGATATCTCGATTGGCTGTGACTTGTTCTTTGCTGCAACAGAGAACAAACATTATAAAATATAATGCGGTTTGTGGACAACATTTAAATGATTTAAAGCGGCCCAAAACCATCTGGAGAATGCATTTGATTCCTCACCGTTTATCTCTCTAAGCTCCAGCTCAGGGGATCCGAGGTAATACTGCTCACAGAGCATTTTAGCACACTCATATGCATCTGAAGCAGAACACAGGATGTTAGTAATGAATTTGCATTTGTCACTAAGGTAATATTTGCTTCCCCAGTTGATAACAGTGTGCACTAGAGCACTCACCTCTGATTACATTTGTGACGTCACAGCAGGAGTCAATGCACCCGATGCTGCTGGGATGTCCTGGCTTTGTGGAGCCATCGAAGATCAGAGCTAAAGATAGAGCAGGAAATAAAAGGGAACTGAGGGTTAGCGGTGTACTGCAAGCTAATCATTCTCTCATATCCAGTGAATAATTAACTCAAACTAGAGCAGGCCGGATTATTCAAGATCTAATGACCTGTAAGTGCAGAGAAAGCAACTACTGATGCCAAGTCCAGGTATTAGGACTAGCACAGATTTAGATTTAGGACCAGATTGACTTACTGTGCTGGTTGATGAGCATGCGAATGGAGATGCGGTTCATGTAAAAGCGGTCCAGGAAGTACTGAATGTTCTGACATGTCACAGGATCTGCCCCAAACGCATCCCTATACTCGATGACACCGATGACACCGGTGGGTACCACATCATTGTGCCTGTTCCTGATGCTCACCAGAGTGTCTACAAATCTTTGAAATCTTTGGGCAAAACAACTCCATGAATCCTGCTGTTTTGTACCGTTTAATAATACTTCTTTAATATTCTGACAGATGATGTGTGTAGATTGCAGAACCTACCCGGCAAGAACTTTGGGGTCATTGGGACTCTTGTCTTGAAATTCTAGGATGTCCATCAGGCTTTGGACAAACCTGAGAAAGTAAGATAGAGAAGACAAAGGGAATGAAAGGTTGTACATTCACTATAGATTATGTTTTTTTTTTTTACCACTGCAGAGTTACAATTACACTTTTTCATTTCCAATAACACCCTCAAGCTAAATAATGTCTTC